CTCATTTATGCTGTAACTACTTAAATAATGCATTGTATGTCAAAGCTTCAAAGAATTTAAAATTTAATTGCAAAAGAGAAAAAAAAAAAATTAAAGAACAAAGAGTGATATTTTAGACGAAAAAAAGATGCTTATATACTACAGTACAGTCATCGGCATCCTGCTGCAACTTTTCATCAGTCTTCAAAGTGGTACGAGAAAAATAGCTGCTATTAATGTTCCAATCATTAGACCAATTTTTTAAGACATCCTTTCAAACTTTTCTATCTTTTTGTTTTTTTTTTTTTTGCTGTTATCAATATCAGTATTATTGTATTGCGTTTGGTCGAAAGTTTTAATATTCTTTTTTGAACAGGTGAAGGAGCGGGTGTAAAAGCACTGCACCGATTAGAACGATCTAGTAGACTTTGCGAAGAACCAAAAAATGAAGGACATTCATGCCAAACCAATTCAGGTAGTTTATTCTGCTAAAAATTCTCTTTGCTTTAGTACAGCTAACTGATGTTCGAAGAATACAGTTAAAACTTCCGTTTTTTTTTAACTGTTACCAAAAGTCTAGTCACTTTTTCTGCTTAAACTATATTATTTGCTTTCGTAAAAAAAAGACAATTTTTTTCGAAGCTTTATGTTGCTTTTAAAACTTGCATTTAATTATTTAAATTTACTAACCTTTCCTTTTTTTTAAAAGTCGTTTATTGAAAGAAAGGATTAACAATTTCTTTTTGCATAATTTTTGTATTGTAGAAGCCGTACAAAAATTTTTTTTCGATTCTGATATCCGAGTCTGTTATGCGTTTAAATATAAGGGATGTGGAGGAAATCGTAATGTATTTGATACTCGGCGGGACTGCGAGAGAAGTTGCCTCCACTGTAAGTTTTTGGAGCCTTAATGTTAAAAGAGATTTCACTTGTAAACTCTCAATTGTATATAAGGTTTTATGAATTGTCAAAATCGGTCAGTTGAATAAATATTGCAAAAAAAAACCTGTCGTTGGTTAACCTTATTTATAGCAGAAATGTTAGAAATTCTGTTATACTTCTACTGCATAAAAAATAATTCTGTTTAAGCGGATGGATCAGCCTGTAGACTCGGAGCTTCTCAACTTCCGTTGAATGATGCGGTCAGATGTGAAGATGCAACCTGCCCAGAAGGTTTTCATTGTGCTTTTGGTTTATTTGCTGAATGCTGTAACACAACAATACAAAGTTTGTTTTTTTTTATTTTTGTTCTAATCATATTTCAATTTTTGTCATAAATTTTTTAACAAAATATAAAGAAAAGCGTCTTATGTGCAAACTGTTCACTGGTATTTTCCTAAGAGCGAATTTGGTCTTTTCAGTTTACGGAACAGTGCCGTACAATTTTGCCGCTACAGTTGGTTTTGCTAAAACTGTGCTGGAAAAATATTAACTGTTAAATATTAAAAAAAATATTAAAAAAAATATTAAAAAAATATTAAAATATTAAAAAATATTAATTTATAAAATGAAAAATACTGAAAGAAATTTAGAAGCTATTCTATTTAAAAATTGATTTACTTCAGTAATATGTAGTCAGCTTTTTGGATTGAATATCTTCCAAAACTTCACAGATAGTGAAAAGATAGTTAATGTTCACTTTCAAACCGACAAATGTTCTGTAAAAAAATTTGCCACCAACACGCCATCAACACAATAAATTAGTTTTTTAATTATTAAATTACAGGGGAATTTGATAGTGCTTATTCTGAGACATGTCCAGATGGTTCAAAAGCAGGTGGTGTAAAAAAAGAATACTTTATGGCAACATTTGGCAGAAGTTGTGACGATATGCTGTGTCAACCAAACCAAAAATGTGTTCAGGTAATTTTGCAAATATTACTGATGCTTTGCTATAGTCAAAAATGAAACTTAGTTTTTAGATGTGCTGTTAGTTTTAAGCTATGTGTAAAATTACCGTCCTAAAGTTTATAAAAATTTTCATTTACTTTGCAAATAATAAACACGCAAAGCTTAGTAAAAATTAAATAAAATTTTAATAGTTATTTATTGTGCGTTACAGATATCAAATAGATTTGCCAAATGTTGTGGCTAAACTCCAATCCGACGTTGAATAAACAGAGCTGTGTCAACTGTGTAAAATCTTTACAGTTCTCTAAGAACCTGAAAAAACTTTTTAAAAAATTTTTTATTTTTATGATTATATTTGCAATAAAAAATTCAGCTTAACAGTACTGTTAGAAGGTAACTTTAGCTTTACATTACTATTGCTAAATATGTTAAAAACAGAATAACGATGTATTTAAACTGTTCTGTAACTTTTCAAGTTTACACTAATTGCCGTTAATGAACTGATTGTCAGGGTTATAATAACTATGGGTCACAAATTTTTACTTCCATATTATATACAAGAAATTTTATGCTATTAAATTATTCTGCTTTTTCTTATTTTTGTTATATTTATTTCAAGTATCTATAAGGTTAATAAGAGTATCAAAATTAGATTTTAAACAGTTGTAACTGTAAACTAAATGCGAGAAAGTTTTCTTGTATGCTTAAATACGTATCATTAATATTTGCAGTCAATAATTTGCTGTTTTCTGGCATATATTTATGTAACCGAAATCACACAGGTGCACAGTTGAAAAGTAAAAGCATCATTCAATTTTTTTTTTTGGTCTTACAACAAACAGGTCAATTTTATCTGAGCAATTAGCAGTTTTTTAAAAGTTGAGTACGTTAGTTTGAATAATAATTACCTTCGCTGCTTTTTTTTGCATCTTTTCTGAAATTTTTATAATTTTTTCAATTGTTACCTAAGAACTAAATCGAGTATTTTTAATTTATTATTTTTGCCTGACTTTGATCCTCGAAAGCACTAAATTATTGTGGGCCTTTATTACAAGTTCAGAAACACCACGGTACACTCGACTGAAATCATGGTCTGTCAGCTACTTTTTTGGTTAACAATGCTGACAAAGTTTCGTTAATCAGATGATTTTTATCTTCGGTAAAACCGTAAAAATCCCGAAGCAAACTGAAATTTATATTCTTTGAAAACTACAGAATTCTTGCAGAAGTAGTCTAGAATACCTTATAACGCGCAAGATTAAATTTGCAAAGTTGCAGAATGTTGCAGAACTTTCCGTTTGAACAGCTCTAAACGACGTTTGTCTAACTGTTGAAACTACGATGTAGATGCACTACTTCTTGAATAAGAAACCATAAAAGCTGTAAATACCTTTCCTTTTTTTGGATTATAACGAGATAATCATCAAAAAAGTGTTAAGGAACACTTCAACGTCCAGAAATATTCAGATATAATAAAAGCTAGAAAAAGAAACTGTAGATTACAAAATACAGCTCAAATAACGTAATAAATTTGTTTTTATCGGGTTCATAAGCTACATTTGAAAAAGATCTAATAATAATTGCAGGCCCCTTTTAAGGGAAAACGTTTTCCCACACTGCTGGCATTCTCAATTAATTTCGATTTACGCTTGCAATGTAAAAACCAGTTTTTTGGTGGAAAACAAGCGAATAAAAAAAACAAGCAAAAATTTTTGCTTTTCAATCTCTATTCCAGACTCAGTTGAAACTTTTTTTATAAGTAGCAGAGTGTAAGAACAATTTTTGCTTAGTTTGTAAAAAATTTACTGAAATGTAGATGAACACAAGAATTCAAAAGGAGAGGTGGTATAGGCAGCGAAGGAGATGAACGAAAAAGTGCTAGTAAAACGAGTACTAAGCATTAAACTGTCAAAATCAAATCCAAAAAAGCACGATAATTTAAGGTGTTACTTCAGCAGTTTCTTCCTGGTTTTCGTATATCTGAACACAAAACGATAATTGTCTTAGATGTTTTGCTTGAAAAAAACGCAGAAAAATCTTCGCTGTTGATGTGGCGATGACTTTTCCTTCTTTTTTTTTCTGAACCCTCTAGTTACTTAAAAGAATGCTTAGTAACAGCATGTTGAAGTATTCAAGCAATTGAAAACAGTTATTAACAGCATAGAATCTGGGTTACTGATGTAAATTTTTTCAATTAGCTACTTCTGTCGGCCGATACGACGCACTGCCAAGCGCATAACGAAGTCGATATTGCGCTGTTGTGGTCCGATATTTGCAGCACTATTCCTCCAGATAAAATTCATCCTCGGCGCTTATGAAATCCACAATTTCTCTTGATTAAACTAATTAAATTTCTACTGGGCTCTAATTTTTGTACCCAGAGTTAATGAGTTCCGTTTTTTGTATTTTTTTCGCTACATTTAACTTAAAACTTCTGAATCTAAATTAAGTATCGAAAATTAAATTACGAGCATTAAACTGTTGTATAGACTATCAAGTAGAAACAGTCAAATGAGTGCTACAAGTAGAGCAGAAAAGTGTGAAAATTAAAAAAAAACCAAAAAAGAGCTATTGTCATTGTATTCGGTTCATCTTATACCATAAATGATTTTAAAAAGTAAAGATGATTGATGCTGCTGATGCTCAGTTGTGTCTCAACAGAATAATTTTGTATGATCTGCATACAGTGTTACCCAGTAAAAATTTGAAAGTTCTTTATTTAACTACTTCTGAAGATGACAACTTCTTTATAACATTTAGTTAGCTACTCTTTTTTTTTAATGTAAAATTTTTTTTATTTTTATTATTATTATTTTTTTTTTTGGTATTTTTTGTTGCTGGTAGGAAGATAAATAATATAAATTTCTTTTTGAGACTGATGACATTGAGCAGTGATATTAGTTTGTTTCATTGAACTTTTTCAATTATTAGAGGGTTATTGCTGTTTATAATTTAGATATTCGGTGAAAAATTTTGTTGGTTTCGACAGAAAAACTAACATTATTTGACAAAATTGAGCACTGTTCGAAAAGTTAGTATAAGAAAAGGAAGAGTTTAAAGGGTTTTTTTTGATTTCTATTTTTTCCTGCTCTTATTTTAGTGTAAATTGCTTTCAGATTTTAAAGAAATAATGATGTATTTTTAAGGTTTTCAAACTGTTAATTGTATCAAAAAACAAAAAAAATTCTTGGTTTTTTTTTAAATTAAAATGTTTAAATTTATCGAAGTTTTTTATGAACATTTGCAGATAATAACTGCAATATAGAAGGAATTTACCGATAATAACTGCAATTATGACGGTATTTTTAATGATAAACAGGTTAATTTTTGGCTAAAGATGTTGGCAGGTTTTAAATCTGATTTGTAAACTATAAAAAATCAATTTTTGGAGATCTTTTTTTGAGTTAGCTGATCTTCACATTAGTATTTTTGCTTAATGATATGATGCTTTCTTTTTGTACAAAGACTACTCGAAGTTGACAGACCAATATTTTTTTATTGTCTATTCACTAAGAACCTCTGACAGATTTTACGAGTATTTGAATTGGCAGTCTCGTTGTTGTTACGATTACTATTATTAGCCTTGTAAAGAACGACAAACTACAGTTTTTTTTTTTTTTTT